CTACTGTGATAATTCGAGTGGTGTTGGTATTTCTGGTGTGTGCTTACGGCTGCTGTATAGCAGTTTCGATCTTTGAATATTTTTGAATTAACGAATATCCTTATTATTTCCCCTTGAGGTTTCTGTATTCAAAACTTTTTTTCAGGAAACCAGGAAGTGCTGTGCGAAGCAGAAGACGAATCGGGCATGTTAAGTAGGCCTGTGCGTGCGGGTAGCACAGCGGCTGAACGTGAGCAACTCAGGCAACTGGTGGAGCAGTGGAACGAGAATCGCCTCGATCTCTTCAACCTCAGCTATCCCACTGAGGTATACTTAAACTATTAAACCCTTAACTTTGTTGTACTAAACCCTTAATGGATCGAAACGTTTCTTACCAATTAAAATAATTTTATTAATTTACAAATTTTGTAATTCTCGTCTCATACACCTTCCTTTCTGTTCATCTTTTTTCATGCTTTTTTAATATGCATTCCTGTTAACATACATTCTCATTTACTTCAAAAATCCCGATGGTTTTTTTCTGGTGTTATTTACATCTGTATTAGCGCAGTGGGAAGTAACATAGTTGTCATGCAGCGGATAGAAGGTTCGATTCCGTCAGTGCAGTGACACTCCCCACACAATTCGTTCATTCGTTTCGATGGTAAATTGATACTGGCATATGCTAGAAAGTCAGACCCGCTATCAGCTTGCTTCGTAGGCAGTCCTCGAAAGAAGAGTTCATCGCATTAATTAATTGTGGCCATTGGAAGGTCGAATCGTAATCTTAAAACAAGTGGACGGCAAGCTTCACCGCTGAGCGGTTGCTATTGGCATTTGCTACCCTCAAAATACATTCGGATGCTTCTCTCTGTCATGGAGATCGGAGTGAGCCATTGGTTTTCGAGTGCCTCTATTTGTGAGGGTCATTTTATGGCTTATTAGAGTGCATTTGGGTATTTCCATACTCTAGATTCTTGTTTCATGATAAAACAGATTTTTTCTCGTTTCAGGATCTCGAGATCCATGGCGTGATGCGATTTTATTTTCAAGAATCTCGCGATAAGGTGTCCACAAAATGTATTCGAGTCTCGAGCACAGCAACCACTCGTGCAGTCATCGAAGCATTGGTGGATAAATTTCATCCTGACCTAAAAATGTGAGTCCCCCAGCTTCACTGGTCCAGAACAGGCTTAAGCAAACTTTTAAATTCAATGCAAACTGATAATTCAAAAATATCCTTCGTATTTTTCCTCCGTAGGTGGCGGAGACATTCGAAAGCAACTCAAGTAGTAGTAGCTGTCGCCAACAGCAGCCTAATAGATTCTTATTAAAAGAGAGTTTTTAATCAAATTTTCTATTAATTTATCATTATGGTTAATTTTCTACCAGAAAAAATTCAAAAACGAAAGGCAGTTTTCCATCAAAAATAATTCTTTTTTTTAATTGGAAAAGTAGTTCTTTTTATTAAAAAACTAATTTTTCTTGACAATACAATTTGGTGCGATACGTTTGTTCATCGGAAATATACAATGAAACGTTGTTTTTAAACATAAATTGATTTTTTCCCAAAAAATGATTTTTTTTTTTTT